GTTTGGTTTTAAGAATTACATTATGTTGTTTCCAAGCCAGCCTCTGTTGAAGTAGATACATAGATTTAATTCCATTTTAAATGCTTCCCAGTATAACCACAAACCCATGTTTTATTTGATAAACCTTTATGTGTATATAAACATAATTTGGTATAACCTTGAAACCTCTATTCTCTCAAGTCCTTTCCTTCCAGCACAAAACATTAATTAAGGTAAGCTTTATTATTATTTTTACCTTTATTGTTAAGTAGAAGCAATAATAATACATGTTTTTGTAGCCCCTCTAGTCAGCACTTTTTTCTCCATTTCTTTATCTTCTCTCCACCTTCCCTTTTCTTTCTCTCTGTGTGGGAATTTCATGATTCTGCAACGTAAAGATTTGTATTGGCAGTGCCAACTGACCATAATTGTTGTATTGTACCCATAAATGATAGTAAAAATAATAATAGAGGGAGAAAGAGGAACGAAATGTTTATAATTTGTTAGTATCTTTATGAATATATTACATGTTTTTCTATTTATCCTCAAATTAACTCCAAGAAGAAGTAGACCCAATTTGTAGCCAAGTAAACTGAGGCCCCCAGAAAAATAACTTGATCAAGATCACGAACAAATAAGCATCAGAGCTAAAACTTGAATCAAAGTCTATTTTACCTCACAGCACTTTTAACCAATCAACAAAACTACAATGTTGTGAATGGGTCAAACTCTTCTTGCCTGCTTTAATTGCAGTTCTCTGGAAATTTTGGCAATCTGCATCACGTTTACAACAGAATGAGAGATTGTTATGAAGAAATCTCCCCTTTGTCTTGTCACCAATTAGTGCCTATTTCAACAATGAATTTAAGTTTAATTAGATGTTTATTAAAGCGCAGTACCTGCAAGGTATAAGCATGTGGCCTTTATCTCTGTTGCCTCTCAGAGAAACACTAAGAATTTTATAAATCCCATCTCATGCAATTTCCACAATGTCTATGAGGCACAGAAAAATAAATTTAAAGGAAGTATTCATTATGAGATAAAAGTATCAGAAAAAGTTAGAGCTGTCTTCCAGTCACATAACATTTTCTTTAATGTTGAAATTTAATAAGTTTTCATTGTTCCGATGATCAAAGGCTTGTCTCAAATAGTTGGCTGTGCTATCATTAATGAAAGAGCATACGCTACTGCAAATCCTTTAGTATCTTCCTCATGACAATGACCTCAAGTGATGCTCCACACATAAAAGGTTTTGAGGTCAAATAGATTTGAGTAATGTTTATATTATAATCTCCTTACAAACTTATAATGAATTTATGTCTTATGAAGTAGTAAAGTTCAAATTTCACTTGTGCATTTGAATTGCAAGGGTGATGATTAAAAACGCAAGCCCCATATTCATAGAATGAAAATATCACCCAGAAGAATTATTTTTTTTAACAATCACCTTGTATGATTATACGGACAGACCATTCAAGATAAAAACTTTAAGAAATGATATGTTAAAATCTCTGACAAGAACTACAGTAAATCTAACCGTTTAAAGTTGAAATCAATATTTTTTAGTAAACTTGCATAACATGAAAGTCTTTCTTCCCAAATGCATTTTGTGATATCTTACACTATGCAGGTTACTTTCTGCATGGACCGTATTTTTTGAGCTTGATTTCATACCACTATGAAATCTTAAGTAATTTTTCAAAGGCTAAATGCAAGTACCGTATAACAAAACAAATGCTAGCTGGTTTATTACAGTAAAAATAGAGAAATTATAATTTTTCCAGGGAAATGTGAGATGCCAGTTCTAAGGTAAACTTATACTAGAAGAAAACTAAACACAGCGTTTTTTTCTTAGGTAGTGTAGAATATTCTTCTATGCATCTGCCAAAATTTCACTAGAATAAGGTAATAAGGTTTTGACTATTAATTTATATTATTATAGTCACAATCCCACTTTTTCATTATATTGAAAGTTTATTTAGATGAGGAATTGTTTATTAAAATTTTTAAGCCACTATCAAATATACATAAACATTGTCACACAAAGAAAGAAATTTATTAATTTTCTAAAGAATTGACATATTTTCATGGTCTATGTTTGTTTTTATTTATTATTTATTTAGAAACTATTTATTCACCACTGACTATCTGATAGGCATCTGTCTGTAATCTATTGGTAATAAACATAGTCTCTTTCTTAAATGAACTCACAATATATTAAGGAGATGAACATGATTACGACTCTACTTATAAAAGCAATGTTAAATGCTAAAGTTGTTATATGCACAGTACCTTCAGAGCTGGAAAGTGTGACTCAGACTGTCTATTGGTGGAAGAGATGGGCTAAGGAGGGAATTAGTAGCTGTTTTTTGGGATCTCCCAGTGAAAGAAGCCTTTTATGAAGGTGGGGTGGTATGCACATAGGCACAGAGAGGTAAAGTAACATGGTGTATGTTCAATTAGGAGCAATATGGTGTGAGATTAGGGAATATGGAAAAACAAAACAACTGCTCTAAAATCTGAACCGGAGTAAGTTTAATATCCTAGGAAACCACTTTAGTTATCATGTACTCAAATGTTTAAAATGTTACAGTTTGAAGAGACCTTATGTCTCCATCTCCTGTTTGACCTCCAGGAAAGAAACTGATTTGTTTGATATCAGAGTTATCCAGTGGTCATACATTATGGTCATAAACTCTTGGGCTGTTTTACACTTGGAAAAGATGATGAAAAACCACAGGCAAACACATACACACAAAAATGCAGAACCTTACATGAAGTTATTTTGCAGTTACTTTAAAAGTGTGTTTATAATAAAGAGGTAGAAAGAAAGGAAGGGAGAAAGGGAGAAAAGAGACAGGAATAAAGGAAGGAAGGAAGAAAGTAAGAAAGGAAAGAAGAACCAATTCAATATTTTAACCTTGTTAGAATGGAAATGAAATCCAACTGGAATACTTTTTTCACTCTCAGCACTTCATCATCCTCAAAACTGGTGAGATTGCAATAATCCCTTGAACCTGTTAAGGTAAGTGAACAGATATGATGTTGAAGGGGGAGAAATTGGTAAATGGACAAGAAAACCAACTACATCGTACCGTATATCGATAAATTAAAATAATAAGTGAATGAATGAATGAATGAATGAATAAATAATGAATAAAATAAAATAAAATGGCTTTTTAAAAAAAAAACTGGTGAGGTTAATACGTAAGATGGAGATTTCCTGTTTAGTAAAATATAGGATCTTAGTTCCAGAAATATTACTTTCCTTTAAGATATTGAGGAGTTTTTTTGCTAGACAAATTGATGTTCATATTATTTAAATTGCTTCCTGGCTTTCAGTATTGGTGTTCTTGAAGGCACACAGATCATTGAAATATTTAAATCTTAGTGTCTAGATTAATCACAGATATAGTAGTGTATAATCCTTTACTTCTTTTTAACTTTTTACAGAAAAAGATTGTTCCATTGGAACTGCACTTCTCTCTAGTAGCTGACTGCCATAAGCACCACTGAGAGCCCCAAACCCACCATGAAGTCTTAATCTGTCCTTGGTTTCCTACTCGTGTTTTGCTGATTTTCTCCCTAGCTTGCCTTTTCAGAATGTATCAAAGTGATGGAATCTTCTCAATGGGAACAATTAAAGGGAAGTCTTCTATCCCCCTTTTTTGTTCTATTTAGCTTCACTGACCTATTTTCAATTTCTGCTTTTATAGGAGGGCAGGACCTGTTCAATGAATCACAAAGAGAGTCTAAGTAATGCTACTGCAGAATCAAAGCCTGTCCCACAGGTATTTGTCTCTGTTTTATTTTGATTATGTCAGAAAGAACTTCTTGGATCCATTTAACTCAATGCTTTTTTCTCTTGACCTAGTTGAAGCGGTATGTAATATTGAATAGTGCAAGGTATTTCCTTCACCTAGTGGTCCTAAACTTTTCCAGGGCTGTTATGCCTGTCACTTAGCTTTGGTTTGATTATGTGAGAACCTCTGAAGATCAAGGGCAGAGGAGCCCTCCCGCTTCCCTGACTCCCCAAAGCTGAGAAACAAAACAAAAATAAACATAGACAAAAACATGCATGCATTCCTTATACAACAAAGGAGATTAAAGGAGATTTGGAGAAGCAGAGGAAATAGAAATACATATCCCCTACACAAACAAACAACAAACACATGCAACTCATGAGATTCATTCTAAATTTTATTAGTAGTCTTATATTTGACCAAAAATATTGCATCACAGCAATTCTTAGGGTTGATTTCACTTAATATGAAATTTATCAAATTTAGAATCAGATTAGTCAGAGTCGAATGTTTGGAAAATAGTTTTTGAAATATCTTGCCATTCGTAGACAAAATATCTTTATGTATTTTCGTGAAGGAAAAGTATCAACCTCTTTATGTTTATTTCAATTTTGCTGGCAATAGTTTTTTGTAAGACATCCTTGGAGATAATAATTTTCATTACTGTTCTGTTAGGATTTTAAATTGTTATATTTGAATGTATTTTGATTCTTCTAATTGTCTTTTCTGTATTGTTTGACAGAAATTGCAAATGGCGCCTTGTTCTGAATGTGAGGTGAAAAAAGCCCCAGAAAAACAATTGACCAGCTTTGAAGGGATGGCAGCTAGAGAAGAAAAAATACTGTAAATACTGAGAAACTGTTAGAAGCATCCGTTTGCTATTGTCTCCATACTCTTTTTAGACCACAGGCTTGATGGAAATACTGAGTTTCTAAAGCATGCAACTTTTTCACAATTTTGTGTAACTTTATAAAGTAGTCCATAAATTTTCCAAAAGATTCCAAGGTAAGGAGGATCCTTAAGCAATAACCTAATTGAAATGGATATCCATGGTCATAGGTATTTCATTCATCACTAAATCACCCAGTATAAATTGGCCTATTTTGACTTAAAAGAAATACAACACTTCATTTTTCTGGTCCATTTGGATATCTAGTACTTCTATGACCTTGAAATTGTTATTGAAATTAACTGCAGGATGATAAAATGTTGTGGGTCTTCAGCATTCTTAAGATGTTTATTGCAACCATATAGTACAGGTTTTGGTCCACACTAGCCAGCCCGTTGGAGTCACCTTCTTCCAGGCTGGAACTTGTGCCAGTCTGAGTACATTATTTGAGATTGTTTATTGCTATTCTTATTATTTGTCTAAATAATGCCAAGGCAATTCTGCCAAAGATTCAGCCAGTTACAAAATTTATTAAATATTTTTGGCCTGATGTACACAAAATATTTGGATGAATGACTAAATTTCTGACGCAACCGATTAAATTTTTTTGGCATTCTGTAGACACATCCACTATGTATGCCTACTGGAATTACTCCAAGTTAGGAATCAAGTTGTTTGAAATGCTCAGCATGATTTTTGTTGTAAGGTTTTTAGAAACCAATCTATTTTTAAAACAAATTGATGGCTGTGTTAATCTTTGAAGGTGGGATTCTAAATAGGGACATCATTGGTCAACTAAATGCACTCATGAATAATTTGACCATAGTTCATAAGCAAGNTAGCTTCACTGACCTATTTTCAATTTCTGCTTTTATAGGAGGGCAGGACCTGTTCAATGAATCACAAAGAGAGTCTAAGTAATGCTACTGCAGAATCAAAGCCTGTCCCACAGGTATTTTGTCTCTGTTTTATTTTGATTATGTCAGAAAGAACTTCTTGGATCCATTTAACTCAATGCTTTTCTCTCTTTACCTAGTTGGAGCGGTATGTAATATTGAATAGTGCAAGGTATTTCCTTCACCTAGTGGTCCTAAACTTTTC